ATCCCACTGTTTTATAACTTCTTTATTATATATACACATATATATGTATGCCTTTCCATTGCATTCTTTCTTATTTGTTACTGAGCCATACGAGGCCGTGCTAAGGGCCTTGGGGACCATAAAATCCTGTGTGACCTGCATGTAAGGCATTACCCACTGTACTATCACTCCAGCCCCCCACCTTTTTTTTTGGCTTTTTGGGTCACACCTGGAATTGCACAGGGGTTACTCCTGGCTCTGCACTCAGGAATTACCCCTGGCGGTGCTCAGGGGACCATATGGGATGCTGGGAATCGAACCCAGGTTGGCCATGTGCAAGGCAAACGCCCTACCCGCTGTGCTATCGCTCCAGCCCCTCCATCTTATTTTTTATCAGTCTCCTTTTATTGAGTAACATTGTGTTAAAACACTGGTGTATTTGTTTTGGGGATGCCAAGTCACCACGGCACAGGCAGCCCCAGACCACCAACATCCTTCCACCACGGTCCCTAGGACTCTTCCCACCTAGTCTTCCCCAGTTGCAGCTCTGTCCCTCAAAAATTTCTGTCCCTGTGCAGGGTGTGACAGGAGTTATTTGCCATTTTGTCATCCCTGCTGTAAACGGACACCTGCCGTCAACGCAGCCCAGAGTGAGGCACCTCCACCCTCCCCATGGGCACTTTCTGTTTGTTCGCAACGTGGGTGTGGGGGCAGCATGAGGAGGGCAGGGGGCTGCACTGTAATCACCAGGGGAGCTTGTGGGGTGGAAGTCGTGTCCGTGTGCAAGGATCCTCGTGTTCCTCTATTCACTTCTGCTTGCTCGCAGGACCAAGTGGAAGGCCGACCCTGCCAGCAACACCTCTGCTGGCTCTTTCCAAAATTTCTCCTGCTTGAGTTCAAGCTCTTGGTCCGAATTCCACCAAATGCCTGAGTCTCGATGCCAGGGGAACTTTAGGGCACAGACCTAGTTCCCTACCTGACCCCCACCCCTAAGCGCCACTCCCAGTGCTTATGCAGGGTTCTTCTTGATATTGGAAGGACCACACCCCCAACGTGACTGGTTCAGGAAGAACGCTTTCATGTGTGGGCCTGTATCTGCACTGCACCCCGACATTCACTCACTGGGAAAAACGGAAGCCTTCAGAGGGCACCGACCTGCCCAAGCTTCCTCAGTCATGTCTCTTTACTTTCTAAAAATTATTGTGTGGGGGAGGGAATTATATACATCCAGAGGTGCTCAGGGATTTTGGGAGGGGGGACCAGGGCCACACTTGGCTGTGTCCAAGGGAACGGAGCACAGAGGATCAAACCCCAGGACCTTGCTCCTTGCAAGACGTTTGAACCACAGGCCTTTTGCCAGATTTATTTCTGTGGTTCTATGGAGCCCAGAGAGGCATCAGAGCAGGAGAGGGCAGTCCCCAACCTCAGGTCCTGTGGGCCAGGGCTGCCCCCTTGGGACACGCCAGACCAAGCACCAGAGAAGAGAGAGGGAGGGTGTGGTCGTAGAGAAATGGGGAGATATGCAGTCCCCCGCAGCTTCCTGGCTCACAGCAAACCCACTGGGCCGGGCCTCCTCCTTGCTGGGAAGCCTCACCAGGCCGCATGACGCTTTCTCGGAGAGGCGCTTTCTGTGTCCAGAGCAGGGGAAGGGAGGCCAAGGCCCCAGCACCTCGCAGCCAGGCCTGGGACACCCCTTCCCATCCCACAGGAAGTGTTCTCTCGAGAGGCTGGCTGACCTCAGGCCAATCCCCTCCAGTGGTGGCAAGCTACCCCCAGTTGCTCAAGAGTATTGATCGCCTACTGCATGCATGGCCCCATGCTGAGCGGGTGTACTGGGTCAGAGGAGGGAGAGAACACACAAGAGAAACCGTTCAGGCTTCCAAAGGGAGCGCGAGCCTTCAACTGCTCTCCATCCCTCAGACATGCAGGACTGTCTGCTACCATGCACTAGTGTTCTGGGCACAGGGGGCAGTTGTGGGGTCCACCTAGGCCTGCAGGTATCTCAAGCTCTCCGCCCTCACTCCACCAAAGAAAACATCCAGGGGTGCCAAAGTGATAGGACAGCAGGGAGGGCATTAGCCTTGCATGAGGTTGACCCAGGTTTGAGCCCCAGCATCCCATGTGGTCCCCTGAGCCCACCAGGAGTGATCCCCGATCCCTGAGCACAGAGCCAGGAGTAAGCCTGGGACACCATTGAGTATGACCCCCAAAACAGAGAACAACAACAAAACAAAACAAAAACTAAAAAAAACAAAAGGAACTCAGAGCCAGGGAATGTCAGGCAAGCCATGTCTTTGAGCTGGGGTTTCACTCCCGGCACAGGCAGAATCCCTCCTGGTTGTCTCCTACCTGTTCTAAGGACTTGCCTGGCCCTTAAAGTAACTTGAATTTGCAATGCAAACTTAGGGGAAGGTCAGGATGATATAGGGGATAGCAGGATGCAGAGGCTGAACCCTGGGCTCAAAATTTCGCCCCTCCCCCACTCCCCCTCTCCCCGCTCCTCAATTTCTTGCTGGGAGATGTTCCCCTGTAGAACAGCTCCTTTCTCTAAAAAATTTAGGGAAAATCCAGAGAAGAGGTTCCAAATCCTAGCTCATTTCCTAGGTTGAGAGAGTCTCAACTGCAGAGTTCTAGAGATGAACCCCCAAAAGTTCCAGGAGTAAATTTATTATGTCTTTTGTGCTATTGCCCCAGCCCCTAGATTTACTATTTTTAAAGGGTCTATAGAGAAGTGCACAAATACTAAGATGCTATTGGCATAGAGAACCTTTATTTTTTTTTTTTGTTTTGGTTTTGGGTCACACCCAACGATAAAGGTAAAGGTAAAGGCCCTCCCGTTGATCGTCGATTTGCTCGAGCGGGCCCAGTAACGTCTCCATTGGAGACTTTGTTGTTACTGTGTCTGGCATATCGAATACTCTCGGTAGCTTGCCGGGCTCTCCGAGAGGGGCGGAGGAATCGAACTCGGGTCGGCCGCTTGTAAGGCGAACGCCCTACCCGCTGTGCTATCGCTCCAGCCCCAACGATGCTCAGGGGTTATTTCTGCACTTAGGAATTACTCCTGGTGTTGCTTGGGGGCCCATATGGGATGCCAGGAATCGAATCCAGGTCGGCCGTGTATAAGGCAAACACCCTACTCGCTGTACTATTATTCTGGCCTGGCATCCTTTATATCAATACACACAGGTTGGCATTTGTCAAAGACATGGCTCTGAAGCAAAATACACAGAAAGGGCTCTCGGGCAGCAGCCGGGGAGGGAGGCAGATCCAGGGTTGCACTGGGTCCTCGGGACCTCAGTCTCTTAGATGTGCATCTGGGTGGTAATAGAAGTTCTGAGGAAGGGGGCAAGGACATCCTGTGTTGGAAGGGGGCAAGGGCGTCCTGTTGAAACAGGCTCCCTGGCAGAGGTAAGGCAGCTGGATGGCCACATGGGTACCTGAAGGCCCGCAGAAAGGCTTCACGCCAGAATTGAAGTGGAAGGGGCGACCTGGCCCCTTCCCAAGCTTCCTGGAGCTCGTAGCCAAGACCGCAGCCAGGGAGGGAGAAAGCAATGTGTGTGTGTGTGTGTGTGTGTGTGTGTGTAGCGGGGAGCCTGAGGTCTCCCCCAGCCCCCCTTGGAAGCTGAGTTGTCCTGGGGACGGCAGTTGTCTTTTCTACCCGCCCAGGCCCCTTCTGGGCTCTTAGACTCCTGCCAGAGCACCCCAAGTGGGCTGGGCCCAGGAGTCCCTGCGGAGGAAAGGGGCGAGAAGTGAGGTGCTCAGAGAGCAGAAATAGGAGAAGGAAGAAGGAGGGGACAGGAATGGGGGGTTGGAGGAACTGCCCCAAAAGTGATTCTGCAGATGGAAGGAATTAAGTGAGAGGGGGAGGGCTCCTACCATGATAGGGAGGGAGAAAGGGCTGTGTGTGTGTGTGTGTGTGTGTGCGCGAGTGTGTAGGACAGTGTGAGTGTGTGTGAAGGTGCGAGTGTGTCTGTAAGGTAGTGAGAGTGTGAATGTGTGAGTACATGACTGTGTATGTGTGAGAGTGTAGAAGACTGTGTGACTGTGTCAGTGTATGAGTGTGCGAGCATGTGAGTGTGTGCATGCAAGCGTGTGAGTACAGGAAATGTGTGCGTAGGAGTGGAAGGTGTTAGTGTGTGTGCATGTGAGCGTGTGAGTACAGGAGTGTGTGTGCGTGAGTAGAAGAGTGTGAGCGTGTGTGTGCATGTGAGCAGAGGAGTGTGCGTGGGTGTGGAAGAGCATGCAAGCGTGTGTGTGCATGTGAGTGTGTGAGTACAGGAGTGTGTGCGCGGGAGTGGAAGAGTGTGAGCGTGTGTGTGCATGCGATCGTGAGTACAGGAGTGTGTGCGTGGGTGTGGAAGAGCGTGCGAGCGCGTGTGAGTGTGTGCATGCGAGTGTGTAAGTACAGGAGCGTGTGCGTGGAGTGGAAGAGCGCGCGAGCGCATGTGGACGCGCGAGTGAGCATGACCCGTGTGTGAGCGTGTGTGTGCGTGTGTGTGTGTGTGTGTGTGTGTGCTGAAGGGAAGCAGAAGGCAGACAGGCGCTAACGGCGGAGAGAGGGAGGACGCGAGGAGGCCGAGCCGGAGGAGACTCCGCGGGCAGGAGTGACACCGCGGGCGGGCGGGGCGAGCGCGAGGGCTGGAGCCGAGCGGGGCCGGCCGGCGGGCGAGCGGGCGCGAGCGGGGGCCGCCCCGCGCCCGCTCGCCCCGCCCCGCGCCCGCTCGCCCCGCCCCGCGCCGCGCCACCGGCGAGGAGACAGCCAATGGGGGGCGGGAGAGGCGCCGGGAGGCGGGACCCGGGCGGAGCCGCCGCGGAGCGCCCCCGGGGTCAGCGGCGAGGCAGATAGCGGGCCGCGGGGGGCGGGGCCGGGGCGGGGCCGGGCCGCGGGGGCGGGGCGGGGCGGGGCGGGGCCTGCGCCGGGGGCGGGGCCTAAAGTTTCCTGCCCAACTTTCGCCGGCCGCTCCCTCGGCGGCGCGCGGGGCCGCGGCAGTCCGGGGGCGGCGGCGGCGGCGGCGGGCGGAGCGCGGCGGGCGGCGGGCGGCGGGCGCGGGGCTCCGGGCGGCGGGCGTGCTGGTGGGCGCAGGCTCCCCGGGGCCCGCCCCTCCCGGAGCGGGGGCACGGCCGGGCGGCCGGGGAGGGGCCGGCCCCGCCGCGGCAAGATGAGCCTGCTGTCGGCCATCGACACGAGCGCCGCGTCCGTGTACCAGCCGGCCCAGCTGCTCAACTGGGTCTACCTGTCGCTGCAGGACACGCACCAGCCCAGCGCCTTCGACGCCTTTCGGCCCGACGGCGCCGCGCCCCCGGAGCTGGCCTTCGGCAAGGGCCGCCCGGAGCAGCTGGGCTCGCCGCTGCATTCCAGCTATCTCAACAGCTTCTTCCAGCTGCAGCGCGGAGAGGTAGGTGCCCCGCGCGCCCCCGCGCCGGGCCGGCTCCGAGCCCCCCGCGCCCCGCGCCCGGCCTTCTCCTGCACCGCCCGCGCGCCCCTCCCTCTGCGCCCCGCGCCCCGCGCCCCGCGCCGGGCCTTCTCCTGCGCCCCCAGCGCGCCCCGCGCGCCCCGCACGCCCCGCGCCCCCGCGCCGGGCCTTCTCCTGCGCCCCCCGCGCCCCCCGCGCGCCCCGCGCCGGGCCTTGTGCGGGCCCCGAGCTCCCCGGCTGGCCCGGCCCTCCTTGGCCGCGCTGCGCTCGGCGGTGCCAAACTCGCCGCCCCAAGTCCCCGGGGCGCCGGGAGCGCGTCACCTCCCGGCCCGGCCGGCCCCTCCCGGTCCGGGGCTCCGCGCCCCGCGGGGACTGGGTGGGGGCGCCGGGTGCGGAGGGGGCGCTCGGGATCGGCTCCAGAATGCGGGGGCGCGGCCAGGGCGGGGAGCCCCTAACGAATGTCCTTCCCACGCCCAGCCCTGGCCACCGCGGGCGGGGACGCGGCCGCGCGAGTCTGCCCCGGCCTCTGCGAGTGGCCTACAAACTCCCCGCGCCTCTCGCGCCACCGAGGGCCACCCGGGAGCCCTGGACTCGCCCCCTCACCGGGGGACCCCCCCCCAGCCCATCCTCCAGCTGCTGGTCGGGCCCAATCTCATAGGAAGTGGTTTTGAGGGCTTGACCCCACGGTCCGCGCAGCCTGGACGGAAATGAAAGGGAAATCCTCCGAGCGCGGGCAGGGGGCCCGGGCGCTGGCCGCCCCGTCTGCCCGGACACCGGCTCTGCGTGTGGCGGCGCCCCGCCGCGGAAGGGGCCGCTTCCTCCGATTGCCGCGCCCCCCACTCACCTCGGAGGGGGCCTCTCCAGAGCCTTCCCTGATGCCCCGTGCAGACCCCACGACGCCCTCCTGTTGCCTTCTTGGGGCAGTTGCAGTCCCTCTCCGGGGTCCTTTCCTGTTCCGTGCCCGCCGCCCTGGGCAGAAGCACAGGAGGGTCTTCTGGGCGCCCGGGTTATTTCTAGGAGGGGAGGGGCCCGTGTGTGTGCGTGATTGTGGGGGAGGGTCCCCTGAGGTCCAGCCAAAGCAAAGGAAGGGACGATCATTGGGAGGGTCAGGAAGAGGTGGCCTTGGTGTGGGCCCAGGAGTCCACAAGGCTCTCCCCTCTGGAATCTCCCATTTTCCGGACCTGCGGGCCTAGGACCTGCCTCCTGCAGCGGTTCATCCTCCTGTCGTCTGCACCCATCTCTTCTGGAGTTGGCTCTTTCCCCTGACGCTTGTTGAGCGCACATGGGGGCCTCTCAGCTACCACCATGGCCTCTGGGGCCAGGATCAGCACAGGAGCACTGACAGTGGCAATGACAGGGGTGACTTGATGTGGGAACCCCAAGGGGTGGTCACTGCCTTCCCAGGGGGGGGATCATCGAGCCTCCCTGGCCTTCCTCTGCCCCACTTGGCAGCCCGGCGGCCCACAGTGTGGGTGTCCCATGAGGGGCTGCAGAGTCTGAGAGTCCCCATGGGTCAGGAGGTTGCCTCCTTGGGGACATTCCGGTCCCAGAATCTCTGCCCATCCGCGAGGCCTGCCGCCTCCAGTCACCCTCCTGCTTCTTCCCTCAGTTTCTCCCAGGGAAGGTGTGGAAGAGCCCCACGCAGTGGCAGAGAACTCACTGTCCCTGGGCCTCAGTTTACCTGTTCTCTAAATGTGTAGTCTCTGGGCCAGAGTGACAGCACAGCAGGGAGGGCACTTGCTTTGCGCATGGCTGCCCCAGGTCCCTGTATGCTCCCCCAAGTCACACCAGGGTCACTCCCGAGCATAGAGCCAGGGGTGACCCCTGAGCACCACCAGGTACAGCTCTCCCTCCCCCCCCCGAGTTAGTCTCTGCTCTCCCCCATACCCTGACAGTCTGAGTGAGGGGAGAGAGGGGACCTTAAGCACAGACCTGGCGGTCTCAGGGGGCAGCGGGTGGCGCCCTGCCCTCCCAGAGGCTCATAGGCTCTCCACCTGCTCAGCTGCCCGGCCCCTCTGAGAGGCTCGGTCTGCTTCTGGGGACGGACCTTTCCTCTGTCCAGGGCTTAGCCGGTGACCTAATACGGCCCCAAAAATAGCAACTGGCTGAGAAGGCAAGAAAAAAACTCCCCCCACCTGAAGGCTCCCAGGGGGCGGTGGGGAGGGTGAGAGCCGTGCAGGGCCCCGGGCGCGGGAGCGTCACGTTCTGTGTGCGGCTGGCAGGCCCATGGCAGTGCCTGAGGATGTGACTTGCATGCTGACCGCTGACCACGGCCTGTTGGAGCCAGCCCGCCCCCTCCCACCACAATAGCAAAGCCCATGAATGCAGCTGGGATTTGGGCGGAGGGCTGAGACGGGGCACAGAAGCGCATTGTGCCCGGGCCCTCGTGTGTGCAGAGCAGGGGAGGACCACGCTCTTTGGGGTGCAGTGGCGAGCACCAGCAGGCTGCCCGTGGGGATTGGGGGCTGCGGTGCCCAGTCCCTCAGTTGGAGGTCGGTGCCAGGCCACTGCAGGTTTTGTGCAATTTCTACAGAGGCCTCAGGGGTCTGGGGGCCCCCCAGGAGCTGCTGGGGCTGGCTCCACGAGGGTGTTGTGCCCTGAGGGGCACTCCCCCGGCCACACACTGAGCCCCTTCCCTCTTCGGGGGGAGGGGGCGGCTTCCCTGTCGTGGTTGTCGGGATCAAATTCATCCCCTCTGCCCTTGTTGGGTGCGTTAGTTCTTGGGCCCCTGCCGATGGCATGCCCCAAGGCCATCTTCAGGATGGTCTGTGATGGGACATCGGGTGCTCTGTGGGGGTGGGCAGAGGACAGGGGCCTTGGGGTCACCTGAGTCTGGACAGCAGAGCATCGACATTGCCTTGGAGTCGCACACGGCCTGTGACTGCACTCCAACCCTGAGGTGCATGCCTGGCAGTGCCCGCTGTCCACTGTGCATTCGCACGCAGGACACCTGCCGGCCCTTGTGAGCATCTCAGTGTGAGCGGCGCTCACCTTGGCGCTCACCTCTCACTGCTGGGGTCATTCTGGCCACACCCGGGACCCTGCATTCATACCTTCAGCACCCGTTTGTCCCCCACTGGAGACTTGACAAAGTATCCCAAGACACCTCCTAGGGACTGCTGGGAGGTTCTGCTTTTAGGGACATTCAGGAGAGACAGTACAGCATGTAGGGGCTTGACTTGCACACAGCCAACTCCGTATGGTCCCCCCGAGCTCAGAGCCAGGAATGGCCAAGAGTAGCACTGTTAATCGATTTTTCTCGAGTGGGCCCAGTAACGTCTCCATTGTGAGACTTGTTGTTACTGCGTTTGGCATATCGAATATGCCAGGCTCTCCGAGAGGGGCGGAGGAATCGAACCCGGCTCGGCAGGGCCCTCCACGTGCAAGGCAGAAGCCCTACTGCTGTGCTACCGCTCCAGCCCAGAGCCAGACCAGGAGTAATCCTTGTGTAATCCCTGCTGGGCATGGCCCCCAAACAGAAAACTAACCAAACTCAAACACAAATTAAAATGCTTCTAGGGTCTGAGGCTAGGACATGAGTGTTGGGAACCCTGCTTAGCATGATCAAGGCCCAAGTTCGGTCCCCGAAGCCTCCTGGTGCTCTCCCGACCTCTAGTGTGCCCTGAGCTGTCGGCCCACACTGCCACTCGCTCCCGGAGAGTCTCAGCCTCCCTGCACACACCCCTGAGTGCGACTCTGCAAAGAAATTCAAAGCTCCCAAGGCTGACAATTGCAAGGTGTTTTGTTTTGTTTTTGGCCGAACCCGGTGATGCTCAGGGCTTCCTCCTGGCTCTGTGCTCAGGGATCACTCCTGGTGGGCCTGGAGAACCATGTGGGGTGCTGGGCATCAAACCCGGGCCAGCCATGTGCAAAGGAAACCCTCCCCACTGTACTAATGGTCCGGCACAACAGTCGGAAGGTTCTCCTGTTCTTTGGTGCCCCTGTGCCGTGGGGTCCTGACACTCACGAGTCTGAAGAGTGATGTAGGGTGGGGGTGTCTCGGAGAGGGCAGATGCTCACCCAAAGTCTCTGTGGCCCCCTCCCGGGATGGGTGGTCGCCCACCTGGCCCTTAGTGCAGTGAATTCAGATCCAGACACGGAGGCCTCGTCCAGGCCCCTCACTCAGTGGATCTCAGTCCAGCCTCAGTGGCTGGGCCCGTGCGTGTCCCCTTCTGGAGAGGAGCAGTCACGTAGTGACCACTGTCGGTAGTGGGGGCAGGTGCTTAGAGGAGCTCCGAGCCACTGGGGTGGTGTCTTCACCTCCCCTGAACCCCCAGCAGCTAGGGAGATGGTGCCGCCGCAGGGCCCAGGAGTCTGACTGGAGTGCTCCCAGCCCCTCGTCCTGAAGCTCACACACGTCAGACTCAGCACCAGGGACCTGACCCACACCCTTATGCGTGCAAAGCAGGCCCAGAGCTACTGATACACTCCCCCGGGATCAAAGTGGGCATCTTGCTTACAAGGAACGGAAGCCGGCAGCTTGCCCCACAGAGCCGCAGCGGAGCCGAGTGTACACTTACGTATTTTCGGTGGTTTTATTTTTATTATTATTTTTGTTTGTTTGGGGGCCATAGCCAGCGATGCTCAGGGGTCACTCCTGGCTCTGCACTCAGGAATCTCTCCTAGCGGTGCTTGAGGACTATGTGGGATGCTGGGGGTTGAACCTGTGTTGGCTGCATGCAAGGCCGGCGCCCTCCCCACTGTCCTATGACTCCGGCCCCCCGATTTCCGTCTTCTATCTAGGAGGGTCCCTGTGGTGAGTTCTGCTGGGCTCCAGGTTGTCTGGGTCATTCCAGTGCAGGCGGGAACCCAGGGCTAGGTCAAGCCTCGCACCCCTGCTGCATGGTCCTCACCCCACTCCCTGGAAGAGGGGCAGCCACTGGCCTGCACCCGGGGTTTCTTCCCAGGCCCAGCCCCTCCCCAGAGACCAGCCCAGAGCTCCTTGAGAGGTGAGTCCCCAGCCACAGGCGTGGAGCACCTCC